TCTCGATCAAAAATCTCCCCAAGCTCCGAGCACATATCAAAGCAAATTTAAATGTTAATTCAAAAACACATTCGTTTAAACATATTCCCATCTACAACAGACAAACAAACACACACACACACACACACACACACACACACACACACACACACACACACACACACACACAGTGTTACAATTACACCCAAATCTAGCGACACAACTCCTTTTTCTTTTTTGAACTATTTATTACGGGCAATTCAGATCGCCTTCGTTCTTACCCAGAGTGTTCCTCTTCTTTTATCCCAAGTGGGCAATAAACGCAGCTAACTACACACGCGGGGCGGGGTAGGAGGGCGGGGCCCTGTACCGGTTACCCCAGCCGTCTAAACAAGCCGATAAATACAAGAACACCATTCAATTGTCTAGGCTAGTTCAAGAAAATCGTACTCCGCTTTATGGATAGCAACAAAGAAAAGAAAAATTAGTATCGACCTTTATGACACAGCACTTATAAGTCTTTCTGTTATTTATTATGTGTGTCATATCTTAGATTAAACTCAACCACGATTATCAAGCTAGGAAAAAAATCGACATTGTTTCTAAGACACACAAATAATAGTTCTCGGTTGTTGTTTTTTCTGTATCTTTCGAATTACACTTTCATCGCCCCCCCCCCCCAAAAAAAAAAAAGCACCAAACACAATGAAAAAAAAAGAGCAAAAATATTTTTAAAAAACCAACAAACACACACACACACCCCCCCAAAAAAAAAAAAAGAGTTCAGTTTTGTGACTTGCAACTTTCTTATAGATTCGGGTTGTCGTTTTCCTCTACGGCCCGGGGGCGGGCTCATCGCGGGAAGGAAATGACGAAGACCCCAGAGTTCAAATCGGTGAAGACATTAAGGGAAAACGACATGTGCTCGCACCTTGGCCAACTTGAATAATGTGTCGTCTAAATCTAGTGTCCTGCGGGTCTGCGCGCGCGACAGTGTGTACGCTTATGTGTTCGAGACGGGGGGAAATCGAGAAAATTCGAGGTTAACCGCGGGAATGGGAGGAAAGTTTAAGCGAAGCAGAAGCACGTCGACACAATAACGAACAGCAAGACCTAGTGAAAAGAAAAAGCAAAGCAGACAGAAACGACGATTGGGAAGGTAAAATAAGTAGGACCTACCACTGGCCCCTTCCAACCACCCGTACATAGTGGTGGAAAACGAGAATAAGAACCCCCCCCCCAAAAAAAAAAAACACACACAACAACAACAACAACAACAAAACAAAACAAAACCGAACAGGACAGAAACAACACATAAACAGAACACAACCCGCACTTTCAATACATTTTATGCGAAGTATCGAACCGCGTATCGCTTTAAAATGCAACAAGTCCCCCAAGCATCTTTATTGAAAAAAAAGGCGAAGTAAAGCAAACGACGCACTTAAACATCAGTGCAGAAGTCACCTTCTACTTCCGCGTCCTTCCCCCCGCCCCTCCATCACTTTCCTGAACATTAACCATGTCAAACTTTCACCAAAGCCTCTTCGTATCAAAGTCCAAGTCCACCAGACATAGCAGATCCCACTAGGCAATAAAACGAAAAAAGACTGGGGACATTCGCTCCTCCATCGA